TTGTGGTTCCCGAATTGAAAGTGAGAGGCTCCCCCTGCCAAGTGCCATCCCAGGACCGGGGTACTAACTTTCACGCACGTCTGAGCCCCGCGTACGAGCACTTTAAAGTTTAGGTGGGAAAATTGCTAACTCGGGAACCAGAAAAGCTGGAAAGTTGGAATTTTAACAGAAATTTCCCTGTCCAAGTACGACTTAAAGATCTCAAATTCAACTCCCAGGTATGTGTGATTCTTGCGCGCGGGCACTCAAAAGTTTTGACAGGAAAATTACTTACTGAATGAGCAGTTCATTTTCAAAGAAAGACCGTTTGACGGAAATTGTTCGGTTTCCTTTATGCAGAATTTACGGTGATTTATGCTAATGAGTGCACAAGATGAGTATAAAGCAAGAACCATTCATTTAGTTAACGACCTGATTGCCTCAAGTTCAGCGCAGAAACGCATAATCGCATTTCAGCCTAGGGTTTTTGTTGTTTGCTTGTCTCTTGCGAAAAAAAAGACGCGTAAAAACGGTCGGATTTAAATGATACACTGTGATTGAGGGTCGATTTTATTGCGGTGTGTGCTGTCCGATAGCGCGGTCACTGAATTTATCTGTCAGGCTTTTGCTTACAGTGCACAAACTTTTTAGAGCTGTGTCTTTTTCGTTCGTACAGTCTCTCATTATTTTTTACAAGTACATTCACGGCATGCGAGTCTTTTCGTCGATTATTTAAGTGATCATAGTTTACTGCGGTCATGGTTCCGTATTCAAGATTAGGACCTTCTGAACCTCTAGCATAGTAGTTACTTGTAGAGAATAGTAACTTAGCTGCAGCTTTTGTTTCAAATGCCAGACTGCAACAATGCTGCCCCTAACTACTGCATCGCTTCTGATATACATTATCAGTGTGTTGACCACATTTGATCGTAAAATATGCGCTGTTTTTGAAACATATAACTGGGTTCGGGAAATTCATGCGCGTTTTCTTAGCGCAGTATTGGAAAGCGCTGCCGTTCACTTTGCAGTCGCTTCTAAAGTCTCAGTTCTCTTCCTAAGTGCGCCAGTGAATGTAAAATTCCAAAAGCCGTCAGTATCCACTTCCGTTCAGGGTAACAAATTCCGTAACACACAGGTTTTTTTCTGTTCAGTCTGAGGCCAATGAATGAGTTTCTCTAAGCTGTACAAAGAACTGGAAGCAGTGTCGTCTAGCCAGTAGTCATTCAGTGTTTGAGCTTAGGAACTAAAATATTAAGGGGTAACTAGTAAGTCGTTTAAGACTGCTTACTATTTGCCGGTACTGGCTGCTCTACCGCTGTGGAGCTCTCTAGGTTTTGTGATCCGTTGCATGCACAGTGTAACTATGCCAGGACCTCTGACCTGTGCTATCCATCTCCCGTTCTCAGTCACTGTTACGCGTCCCACATTCTCGGAATAAGTCCGCGTGGATGCCTGTACCGTGTCGTACTGAAGAAAGCGAGCAGTGTACTTGTCTAATAAATTGTTTGTTTCCGATTTTGGTCAAAGTTCACGTGCTTTGCTAAACGCTATTTGAGTGACAGTATCTTTGCTTTTGCTTTATTCGCATTACGCATTTAGCAGCTGCATGACACTGCATTTAGCCTGAATGACATCGAAAAAGAGGCGCAGTTTTTTCTAGAATCACACCTGAACGCGATGCTGCAGAACCGACTCCATCGGAAAACCCGAAGGAGGCTATCGATGTAGCGCAGTAAAAAAATTTCTTGGCCCAGTGGTTTGCATTACCTCAGTTCTTGAGGTGCCAATTTTCAGGCTTCCTTTCTCAGTTTGTACGTTCGGTATTTGCAGCATTTCACTTACGTTCATTTTTGCGATAGGAATGTGTTACTCGTGAAATATAAATAGTCCAGTTGTCTGTTGTTGAGTTTTAAACCACATTTCCAGACCTGTTTATGGGATTTCTCGTTCAGAAATCGTATAATAGGCTTGTGCACCAAAAAGCTGTTATACCTTAAACATCGACAATTACCAAAATTCGGCTTGGCCGCGCAATATGCATTCGTTTGCATATATGCAAACGCAAAAACGCATATTGAGGTGACCCCGATGTGCGTGTGTCTTTGTATCCGTCTGGGTATTTCAACTCGGCAACCAAGCAAGCTCGAGCGTCAAAATTTTGCTAGTGGGTTCCTTGGCCAAGTGCCACCCCAGGACCACCGCACCACTTCTCACGTAGTCTTGGGCCTAGCATACGAGTGCATGAAGGATCTGGCGAGAAAATTGCTAACTCGGGAGCCAGAAAAGTTGGAAAGCTGAAATTTTGTGTGGAGTGAGTTAGTAACACTGGTACAAGGAGCTGATTTTATATCTGATTTTTTCAAAGTGATTTTCCTGGATTTTCTCCCCTCCTCTCCTGGAGAGGTTCGTTTAATTAAATGATGAACGACATAGCCAAGAAGGATGAGAACGAGTAGGAAGCGATTTCAAAATTATTCGCTTCTACAAAAGATGAAAAATTGGTTGCGGTAGCAAAATAAATAGTGGCGCGCACTAGGAGCCCAATGCGATTATGCGTTTCGCACAGTTTTGTCCAGCGGAAGTTTGATGTTAAAATTGTTCTGCTTTATGGTTTTATGTGTGCTAGAAATAGTCGGAGTGCTGTCTAACCCCCAAACCATGAAATTTCTCACCAAAAATTTCACGTCCCCGTGCATGAATGTAGGCATTCGAGAGGGCTCAAACTGAATTTGTAGAGTCGCACACGAAC